TTTCTTTCTTTTTCTTTCTTTCTTTCTGCATTGTTGTTATTTCTCTCATTTATTTGCAGACTTGCAGTTTGTCTCCTGCCAGGCTGGATGGTCCCCCCTTAATGAGAGCAAATTCTCCCTGGGTTCCTTCTCACTTTGTCTGGGACTTGCTTTCCTCTGAAGTCTTTTTGGAGCCACAACGCCTGGTAGCCAGGGGTCTGGGTGTTGCCAGAAGGGCGGGGGAGAGAGAGAGAGAGAGAGAGAGAGAGAGAGAGAGAGAGAGAGAGAGAGAGAGAGAGATCAATGATGGGAGAGAATCATTGATTGGCTGCCTCCTACACGCCCCACTGGGGATGTGCCCTGACCAGGAATGGAACCTGGTTAATGGCGACCTCCAGGTTCATAGTGTTATGCTCAAGCACTGAGCCACACTGTGGGGCCTCAACATCTAATTTCAAATGCAACTGTCTCTCATTCAGCGCTGAGCAATTGAGAATAGCCGCTAGGGGACGCTGGAGACCAGAGGGGTGCCTTTAGAAATTGGCTGTTCATTGATTGGCTGCCTCCTGCACGCCCCCTCCCCCTCCGGGTCAGCGGCAATTTAAAGTAAATGGTGACCCATGGGAATGATCACAACATTCCGGAGGGGACTTGGGGGAGAGGAGCTTGAGGTCCCTAACTCTAGCCTCTGGAAAGAGTTCTGAGGTAAGAACTTGAGTTAACAAGTGCATGGGCCAAGGAATAGGCAGCTATGGGAGAAGCTGAGGAGCTAACCCTGACTGTGCAAGCCTCTCTATCCATGTCAGGGCCTCGCAAAGGTGCAATGGACCGCAAAGGCTTCTCATGCGCAGAGTGAACCTACCTCACTCCACCCAGCCACAGCTGAGGAGAGAGAGCACCGAGTCCGGGGCCAGGCAAGAACTGTGCCTCCCGCCAAGTTCTTCCTCTGGGGCGCACACTGCCCTGGATGATCTCATTCAGCCCAAGGCTGTACTTGCCATGGCTCCCAAGTTCATCCCTTTATCAGAACTCTCCTCTGAGTCTACCACACACATAGGCAACTGCTTCCTGGCCATCTCCACAAGAAGAGCACAAACTCAACATGTCAAATTTAATGAATAACATCCACTCCACCCGCCCCTGCCCCAAGCTAGCTTCTGTTTCAGTGAATGACACTCATCATCCAGTTGCACAGACCAGGGACCTGGAAGTCACCTGGAATTCTTCAGTCTCCCTCTCGATCCCCCCATTATACAATACATCTGTTGCCATGGCCCTCAGTTTTACCTTCTAAGTATCTCCTGAATCCACTTCTCTCTCTCTCTATTGCCACCAGCTTAGTTCAAGCTGTCATTACCTAGCTCCCAAAGTTCTGTGCACTTTGCCAGGGACCCCTGTAGGATCAATGGGCATGGTATCGTCCTGCTTAAACCCTTCAAAGGCTTGTATGGCTCTTCAGATAAATATCAAAATCTACTCTCATCTTAAAAAAAAAAATATATATATATATATATATATATATATATATATATATATATATATATATATATTTCAGAGAGAAAGGGAGAGGGAGAGAGAGAAACATCAATGATCAGAGAGAATCATTGATCGGCTGCCTTCTGCATGCCCCCTACTAAGATTGGAACCCACAACCCAGGCATGTGCCCTTGACCGGGTCTACACCATGGCACTCTTTCAAGCCCACATGAGCCCCTGACCGGAATGGAACCAGGAACCTTTCAGTCTGCGGGCCGATGCTCTATCAACTGAGTCAAACCAGCTAGGGCCACACCCTGGCACTCTTGGTTCCTGTCCACGACTCCTCTGAAGGCACAGCATGGGGAACTTGGAGTAATACTCTCAGGGCCTTTGCATATGCTGGAACAGTCTTCGGACTTCTTTCTGCCTTATACATGCCAATCGCAGCTCAAGTTTCACTTCATCAGGGAGATCTTTCCCAGCCTCCCTGAGCAGGTCAGAGCCTCTTGTTTGGGCTCTTATGGTACCACATGCTTCTTTGTGTCACAGTTGAAATCTTGTAATGTTGAGTTTAACTCATGTCCAACTCCCTAGACCCGTGGTCAGCAAACTGTGGCTTGAGAGCTACACGTGGCTCTTTGGCCCCTTGAGTGTGGCTCTTCCACCAAATAGCACAGCCTGGGTGAGTCTATTTTGAAGAAGTGGCATTAGAAGAAGTTGAAATCTAAAAAGTTGGCTCTCAAAAGAAATTTCAATCGTTGTCCTGTTGATATTTGGCTTTGTTGACTAATGAGTTTGCCGACCACTGGGTGGCTAGACGGTGAGCTAATGACTAAGCTATATGTGGAATCAAATAGACTCTCCAGGCCACCTCCTAGCTGGGAAAGGACAGGGAAGAATCAGGAAGAGACTTCTGAATCTACGTAGCTATGTTCACACTTGGAAATCACACAGGCTTATATGTGCTTAGAGGCCAAGTAAATCTTACCTAATAGACAAACATGTAAGTTGACCATACCTCTGCCACACCCACAGCCAATCAGAATGAGTATGCAAATTAGAAGGCCAAAGATGGCGGCTGCCCCGCTGCTCCAGGCACAGAGTGGCCAAGTGGGGCAGGACGCCTGCTATGAGAAGGAGGACAGGGGGCGAAGGGATCTGCAGGAGCAGAGTGCGGCAGCCAAGAAACATTACAGACTCCAGAGTCTACAGCCAATACAAAGAAGGCAGACTCTGGCCAGAGTGAAGGCCTGGGAACCGGGTGCTGGAGGAAAACCAGTGCTGGGAGCCAAGGGAAGGAAGGCCTATTGCACGAATCTCTTCGTGCAACGGTCCTCTAGTATAACATAACCTGGGTCACCTCCCAAAGTTGCTCACATCCCCAAGCTTCATGGCCCCTGGACACACCTGTGTCTCCCAGGGGAGATGCTGAGCCTGCAGACCTATGGTGGCCTCTACAAGTTTTCAAGCCAGGAAACCTCTTTTCACATATATTATCCAGACATATTTTTTTCTATTTCCACATAAATAACCCCCACATTTAGAGGTTTCAAATACTACCACTTATCAGCTGCATTTCTTGTAGGTCAGAGGCTGGGTAGGAGCCTGGCTTCTCTGCTCAAGGACTCATAAGTCAATGTGTTGGCCAAGCTAGACTTTTAGCTAGGGGCTCTGGATAAGGATCCATCTCCAAGTTCATTCAGGTTGTCAGTCAGCTTTAGTTCTTTTCTTAAAAAAAAAAAAAAAAAAATATATATATATATATATATATATATATATATATATATATATATATATATATATATATTATTCATTTCAGGGAGGAAGGGAGAGATAGAAACATCAATTATGAGAAAGAATCATTGATTGGCTGCCTCCTGCACACCCCACACTGGGATCAAGTTCGCAGCATGGGCATGTGCCTTTAACCAGAATTGAACCCGTGACTCTTCAGTCTGCAGGCCGATGCTCTGTCTATTGAGCCAAACCAGCTAGGGCAGTTTTAATTCTTTGTGGTTATAAAATGGGGTGGGCTGGGAGGGCATTTTCTGTTGGCTGTCAGCAGGGAGCCACTCACAACTGCCTTTATTCCTTGTCAATGGCTCTGTCCATCTTCAAGTCAGCAAGAGTGCATCCATTTTTCTCCTGCTTCCAATCTGTCTGACTCTCCCTTCTGCTTGCTACTAGCCAGAGAAAACTCTGCTTTTAATGGTGCATATGATTAGATTACTAGTAAGTCCAACTCGATCTTCACCATTTTGCCACACAATGTAACATAATTACAAGAGAAACATCAGAGGACAAAGTCATAGGGGCCATCTTAAAATGCTGCTCTACCACACCAGCTGAAGCAGGGATTTCTTTTAGTAAAAGTTAAGCTTATAAGCGTTAAGAGGACTTTGAGAAACCAGTGTGAATGCCCTGTCTTGAACCATAAATACTCTGGTCATATAATAAAGTTGCATCTTCTTGGTCAGGTCACCTAAAAGGTTGTGTCTGATTGGCAAATTCTTGGTACCAGTCCTTACATACAGTATAGGCACCTGATTTTTTTAAAAAGTTACACAGGCTGGTGTGGCTCAGTGGTTGAGCGCCAAACTAGGAACCAAGAGGTCACTGGTTCCATTCCCAGTCAGGGCACATGCCCAGGTTTTGAGCTCCATCCCCATTGTGTGTGTGTGGGGGAGGCGGGGGGGGGGGGGGAAGGGGGGTGTGTGTGTATGCAGGAAGCAGCTGATTGATGATGTTTCTCATCAATCTTTGTATCTCTCCTCTCCCTTCCTCTCTATCTAAAAATTAATTTTAAAAAACCATTTAAAAAAAAGTCACTTTGGAACAAAAAGGATGGGTAACTACTATTATTTATTTATTTTTTATGTAACTCAATGAAAGTTATACCTACCCTGTTTCCCCCAAAATAAGACAGTGTCTTATATTAATTTTTTCTCCCAAAGTTGCGCTAGGTCTTATTTTTAGGGGATGTCTTATCTTTCCATGCACTAGGTCTTATTTTTGGAGGATGTCTTATTTTCGGGGAAACACGGTATTTTTTGTCAGATCAAAAAACAAAACAAAAACCATGATGTAATTTTGGGTGTACCACAGCACTCTAGTAGCTAGCTTCTGTGGGCCATGAGATGCAAACGGTTGAAAATGGCTGGTCTGTGTTTGAGGCATTGCTATGGCAGGAAGATTTTAAAATGAGCTTGTGTCATGTGACAGCTCATTTTGAAATCTTCCTGACCCAAGAGTCCCAGCTCTGCAATCTATCCCCCTTAAGAGTTGCTTAAGCCTTGGACTTGGTTCCTTCCCTTACAAAATATGGACGGTAATAGAGCCTACCTCGTAGTGTTGCTGCGAGCATGGATACAGGTGAGAACATGTTTGTTCTGAACCTAATTTAATGCAATTTCTTTTGTGGTTCAGAGAACTCCCACTTCAAAAGCCGTACAAAGTTTGGTGATCCCCGGTTGATTTCCTCAGAAGACCCCCAGCAGCTATGACCGCTCTAATACTGTGCCTCAACATTTGATTTTCCTTAGGAAAACATGACCCTTCCGTCTTTGCTTCTGACCTGCCTTGTCCTGCTAATCTCGGCTTCCTGTGGGTTCCCCACGGAAACCAGTTATTTGAGAAGAAGCTTTCCTTGCGACGAGAAAATACAAAATGAAACTGTTGTTGCAGACTGCAACAACCGTCGGCTGCAAGAAGTCCCCCAAACCGTGGGCCCAGGTGTCATGGTGCTCGACCTGTCTGACAACGTAATCACACAAATCAGGAACGGATCTTTTGAAAGCCTGCACAATCTCACCTCCATCAACCTGAACCGCAACGCCATGCTGCCGCCCTACTGTGAGAATTATCGCAGAACTAAGAAAGGCATGAACATCACAGATGGGGCATTCCTCAACTTGCAAAAGCTAACGGAGTTACTACTTGAGAACAACCAACTAGACAAAATACCCTCTGACTTGCCGGGGTCTTTGAGGGTCCTTAGTCTAATTCAAAACAACATCATTTCTGTAAGTAAAAACAACACTTCTGCACTGAAGAACTTGGAAAGTCTCAATCTGGGCTGGAACTGCTATTTTGGTAATGTTTGTAATAAAACTTTTATCGATGACGGGGCCTTCGAAGAGATGACAAATTTGAAGGTGCTCACGCTGTCCTTTAATAACCTTTCCAGGGTACCCCTCAACCTGCCAAGATCCTTAAGGAAACTGTTTCTTAGCAATACCAATATCCACACCATCCATAAAGCAGACTTCGAGGGCCTGGGAAATTTAACAGTCCTCGATTTGAGCGGGAACTGTCCAAGGTGCTTCAACGCCCCGTTCCCCTGTACACCTTGCCCAGGAGACGCTTCGATTTCTATACATGGTAGTGCTTTCGAGAGCTTGACCAATCTTAAATATCTCAACCTCTCTAGCACTTCCCTCCGGAAGGTGAATTCAAGCTGGTTTGACAAGATGCCTCATCTAAAGGAGCTGCATCTTGAATTCAACTACTTGGTGCATGAAATCGCCTCTGGGGAATTTTTAACAAAACTGCCCAGCTTAGAAATACTTGACTTGTCTTATAACTATAGAAAGACACAATATGTAGATTATATTGATCTTTCCCCAAACTTCTCTAAGCTTACCCTTCTCCGGTCTTTGCATTTAAGAGGTTATGTGTTCCAGAACCTTCGCTCTGAAGATTTCCAACCCCTGATGAACCTCTCGAACTTAATGACTATCAACTTGGGCGTTAACTTTATTAATAAAATTGATTTTGGCATTTTCAAGAACTTCCCCAACCTGACAGTCATCTACCTGTCAGTAAACAGAATATCGCCCTTGGTCAATGGTACCCGGCAAAGTCTCTCCACTCTCCACAGTCATGTCCTCAAACCACGCTCAGCCGATAGCGAGTTTGACCCCCATTCGAATTTTTATCACAGTACCAAACCTTTAATAAAGCCAGAATGTGTCAAGTATGGCAAAGCCATAGATTTAAGCCGAAACAATATTTTCTTCATTGGGCAAAAGCAATTTGAAGCTTTCCCTAACATCTCTTGCTTAAATCTGTCTTCCAATGGCAATGGGCAAGCATTAAATGGGAGCGAGTTTTCAGCTCTGACCCAGCTCAAATATTTGGATTTTACCCACAATAAACTGGACTTTGATGCTAATAGTGCTTTCAATGAGTTGCCTGAGTTAGAAGTTCTAGATCTCAGCGACAATGCACACTATTTCCAAATAGCAGGGGTCACACACCGGCTAGGCTTTATTAAAAATTTAACAATGCTGCAAGTTTTAAATGTGAGTCGCAACAACATTTTTACCCTAACAGAGTACAACCTGAGCAGCGGGTCCCTGAAAGAATTAGTTTTCAGTGGGAACCGCCTGGACATTTTGTGGAAGGCTGCAGACAAGAGGTACATGTGCATTTTCAGGAATCTCGTGGCACTGGAACAGCTTGATATATCCTTTAATAATCTTGAGCGTATCCCCCAACAAGCCTTCGTTAACCTGCCCAGGAATCTCACAAGGCTATATCTAAATGACAATAGGTTAATTTTTTTTAACTGGACATTACTCCAGTACTTTCCTCGTCTCCAGTTGCTTGACTTAAGTAGAAACCGTCTGTATTATTTAACATATGGCCTATCTAAAATCACACACTCTCTTCAGACGCTGCTCCTGAGTGAAAACAAGATTGTCCAGCTGCCACCTGGCTTCGTTTCACAAAACAGCAGTCTGGTAACCCTCGATCTAAGTGCCAACCAGCTAAAGATGATCAACAGATCTACATTTCAGACAAACGAGAACAGCAACTTGGCCCTTTTGCGACTAGACGGAAACCCCTTTGATTGCACCTGTGACATGGGAGATTTTCTAAGATGGATGGATGAAAACCCGAATGTCACAATTCCTAGGCTGACATATGTCATGTGTGGCAGTCCTGGGGATCAAATAGGGAAGAGTATTGTGACTCTAGAGCTAACCACATGTGTTTCAGACACCATTGCAGCCATACTATGTTTCTTCACATCCTTCATCACGCTCACGGTGATGTTGGCTGCTCTGGCTCACCACTGGTTTTACTGGGATGTTTGGTTTATGTACCATGTGTGTCTAGCAAAGATCAAAGGCTACAGGTCTCTTTCCACATCCCAAACTTTCTATGATGCGTATGTTTCTTATGACACCAAAGATGCCTCTGTTACAGACTGGGTGATCAATGAGCTGCGCTTCCACTTGGAAGAGAGTGAAGAAAAAAATGTGATGCTGTGTTTGGAGGAGAGGGATTGGGACCCGGGATTGGCCATTATTGATAACCTCATGCAGAGCATCAAACAAAGCAAGAAAACAATATTTGTTTTAACCAAAAAGTATGCCAGAAGCTGGAGCTTTAAAACGGCATTCTACTTGGCCTTGCAGAGGCTGATGGATGAAAATATGGATGTGATTGTATTTATTCTGCTGGAGCCAGTGTTGCAACACTCTCAGTATCTGAGGCTGCGGCAGAGGATCTGCAAGAGTTCCATCCTCCAGTGGCCTGACAACCCCAAGGCGGAAGTCTTGTTCTGGCAAAATCTGAAAAATGTGGTCTTAACAGCAAACGATTCGCGGTATAACAATTTGTATGTGGATTCCATTAAGCAATACTAACTGATGTTAAATCCTGGTTTATCACATAAGACAAAGGCACAGCAATGACCCTTCTGCCTTGGTCAGCTATTGCTGTGTAACAAATTACCCCAAAACATACTGGCTTAGAATGACAGAATTTGTTACCATGTAGTCTCTGTGGGTCAGGAGTCCAGTATGGCTTAGCCACGTCCTCTGCTTGGGGTGTCTCAAAGGCTGCAATCTAAGTGTTACCAGGGCCACACGCATCTCCTGGGATTAAGACTGCAGTCTTTGAGAGACCCCAAGCTCACACTCATGTGGCTGCTTTCAGGATTCGCTTCCTTCTGGGCTGTTGGCCAAAGGCTGCTCTCAGTTATCAGTCAAATGGACCTCTCTTACATGGTAGGTTGCTTCATCAAAGCCAGCAAGAGAAAGAGATTTTTCTGTTTTTTAATTTTTAATTTTTATTTTTATTGATTTCAGAGAGGAAAGGAGAGGAAAAGAGAGACAGAAACATTAATGATGAGAGAGAATCATTGGTCGGCTGCCTCCTGCATGCTCCACACAGGGGATCAAGCCCGTAACTCGGGCATATGCCCTGATCAGGAATCGAACTGTGACCTCCTGGCTCATAGGTTGACTCTCAGCCACTGAGCCACACTGGCCAGGCCAAGAGAGAGAGCTTTCTGGCAAGACAGAAGTTACCATTTCTTATAATCGAATCAGGGAGGTGATATCCATTTCTTTGGCCATATTCCATTTGTTAGAAGGAAATCACAGTCCCCACCAGCTCAGTGGGAATGGTCCTCTCAGTCCGGGGAAACTAGTCTATGATGAAGATGGGTGATTGTAATGGCCCCCATCAGAGACTGAATATCAGGAGGTGGGGGATCATTGTGAGCCAGCTGGGCAGTGGCCTACTCCACTTTCTTTTCAATATTTAAGAATTTTGGGAACCATAACTAATAGTTCTGATGGTAAGTGGCTTAGATTTATCATACATTCATAGCTGTATGATTATATTATACCGTGTTTGCACTAGTCTTTCTCTTAGAATTATTCTTATAAAATATTTGCCTTCTAAGGTGTAGATGCCATTTAAAGGTTCATGTAGTTTTTAAATGGTTTACTTTTCTGCTTCTTAACCATATTTTAGAGTATTCAGCTAAATTAGAAGCATCTGGAGTACCTGTCAATTGTCATTGCTGAGAATCTTGAATAATTAAAAATGCTTCATTTCACATAATGAGCATATTATAAATATACAATAGGAAAATTGATCTATAATATCAAAGCGATTGGCATCTACACTGGGTTTTTTGAGAACACTTTTTAAAAATGGTTGTTAGAGCCCTAACTGATTTGGCGCAGTAGACAGAGCATTGGCCCGCAGACCAAAGGCTCCCAGGTTCAATTCTGGTCAAGGGCATGTACCTTGGTTGCAGGCTCCTCCCCCGCTCAGGCCCTGGTCGGGGTGTGGGCAGGAAACAACCAATCAATGTATTCCTCTCACATCGATGTTTATATCTTTCTCTCTCTCTTCCACTCTCCCTTAAAATCAATGGGAAAATATTCTTGGGTGAAGATTAATGAGAGAGAGAGAGAGAGAGAGAGAGAGAGAGAGAGAGAGAGAGAGAGAGGAAGAAAAGTCTCTTCAGAATTAAAACAAGAAAAATCTCTAATGCACCATCCTTTAGTACATGCAGGATGAGTTCTCTCTAAATCTGTATTTCCAAGGAAATGTAGTAAGATATTTTGCTGGTGTTTGTTGAGGCATGGGAACAAATATCTGAAAGCAGGGTCACTCCAGGAAGGGAAACCCCAAAAAGGAATGGTCAGGGCAGTTACAGCTCGTCTCTGTTAATGCCACAGTTGTTTGTGGTCTGGTAGAAGCTCATGGCTGTGTTGCCTGATTGTTTTGGTTAAATAGAAATGTAGATTTTTAGCAGTATTAGTAATGATGGAAGTATGTGAACCTCACACCCTCTGGTAGTGTTCTGTTGACAGAATCAAAGTGAATAAAAATCACAGGCAGTTTTGCCTTTCTTGCAAATATCTTCATAAAGTTGTGAAATCAGTGGTTAATAACAACATTTATTTCCGAAACTCACTTATTCCTCATCTAGGGTTCTCGTATGGTAAAATCAGACCTATAATTTGTTAAAGAGAAAATCAGCATTGTTCTGTTTTTGTTATTTTGAAATGTATATATGCTAATACCTGCGGTTAAGTCTTTAAAGTTCCAATTTTACAAAGATGTACAGTGAAATTTCATCTCCCTCTCAATACAAGTTCGCTTCCTAAAGACAACCACTAGTAAAAATTCTTATGTGTTCTTTTGTATGATAGTGTAAGACTCAGTTGCCTTAACAAAGTGATCCAACAACACAGAAGTTTATTTCTCTACCTAATGCTGTGACCTGAGTGTTTGTGTCCTCCCCAAGTTCACAGATCGAACCCTGAAAGTGGTGGTGTTAGAGGTGGAAAGTTATGAAATTGACCCAAGAACTTTCCCTTGCTCTTTTGCCTTGTGGCGGTACAGAATGTGGGCTATCACCAAACACCAATCTGCCAGCACCATCATCTTGGACTTCCAACCTCCAGAACTGTGAGAGGAATGGTCGTTGTTTATAAGCCACCCAGTATCTGGTATTTTGTGTGTTTTTAAAAATATATATTTTTTATTGATTTCAGAGAAGAAAGGAGAAGAAGGGAGAGAGAAACATCAATGATGAGAATCATTAATCAGCTGTCTCCTACACACCCCACACTGGGGACTGTGCCTACAACTCGGGCATGTGTTCTGACTGGAAATCAACCCGTGACTTCCTGGTTCATAGGTCAACGCTCAATCACTGAGCCACACTGGCTGAGCAGTCTCTGGTATTTGTGAAAACAACCTGAAAGGACTAAGACACCTTGAATAGTTCAAAGAGAATCGTTTAGGTTGGCAGGGCAGCTCTGCTCTCCATAGCCATTCAAGATCCCTTGTTCTTTTCTCTTATTGCGCTGCTGTCCTCTGGGGAATTAGCATCACCTGCATGGTCCAGGTTGAGTCATCTCTACGGCTGGGGAAAAAGGAGGAATAGTACTCAGACAAGTGTCTTAAGGTGTAGACTCAATAGTGGCACACATCTACTCACTTTCTATTAGTGAAGACCTATTTGACCTCACAAAACTGCAAGGTATGCTGGGAAAGATGCCCAGTGAGAAGTCTGTAACTGTGGAAGAAAGGGAGAGGAGATTTGGTAGACAGCTAGAAGTCTCTGCCACAACTTCTAGAAGTGTTCAGTTTGCACATCTGAGCCTTCCATTGCTCATCTAAAATAATAAAAGGGTAATATGCTAATTAGACCAGAGGACCTTCCAGATGAAGCCAGGGCTGCGAGGGAAGCCGGGTCCAGGTGGCTGCCAGCAGTTGGAGAGAAACCTGGGTCTTGGTGCCAGAGGGAAGCCAGTGCTGGCAGCCAAGGGAAGGAAAGCCTACTTTTGCCTGAATTTTGTGCACCAGGCCTCTAGTTTACTATAAAGGAGCAGACTTTATGCTAGTGTTCTACATTGGGGCTTTTTTCACTTAATTTTTTTTAATGACTGCATAGAACTGCCTTATATGAATGAACCATAGGTATTTTCCCAGTCCTTCATTGGTCAACATTTTTATTGCTTCTAATCTTTTGGTATTACATCTAATTTTATAATACTCTGTCTTCATGTTCACCTATGCATATGTCTAGAGAATAAAAGAAGTTTGGTACAGCAATACTGAAAGTGTTCTGCAGACTGATGTTGATCTGCAACTGGTTGTTACTGGTCTGTGATGAGATAAATACAAATCTGATCTTTTGCCCCAGGTGGCTTGAGAAGTACAGGTCTAGAAGTGGAATTATGGGGTCAAGGAGCTTATGAAGTTTAAAGGTTTATAGACACTACCCAATTTGTCCTACATAGTGGTTCTCAAATGTACACTTCCACCAAGAGTCTTGGCAGAAAGATATAAAAAATTACAGAGTCAAAAAAGAATTGATGGTGCCCTAGCCAGTTTGTCTCAGTGTATAGTATGTTGGCCTGTGGACCAAAGGATCCTGGGTTCGATTCCAGTCAAGGGCTTGTAACTTGGTTGCAGGCCCCTTCCCAGCCCAGGCCATGGTCAGGATAGTGCAGGAGGCAACCAATTGATGTGTTTCTCTCATATCAATGTTTCTCTCTCTTTCCCCTCCCTCTTCCACTCTTCCTAAAAATCTATGAAAAAATATCCCTGGATGAGGATTAACAAAATAATAAGAATTGATGGTTGTCATCTCCAAAAATAAGACAGAATGTACTCAGAGTCCATCTTGGCATTCCTTGTTGAAGAACCAGTAGAAGTCATCAATTTAGTGTGGATTTGGGCAGCCAATCAAAACACACTATTAGCACAGGTGTGATGTAAAAGTCTAGAACACTCCTGGCATTGTGAGATCTGTTGGGAAGGGAGTTAGAAACGCATATTTAGCATATGTATTGCTTTAGCTCATTTGGTTGGAGTGTGTCCATATGTTGAGGTTGTGGGTTCTATTCCCAGTCAGGGCACAAGCAAGAAATAACTAATGAATGCATAAAGAAGTGGAACAAGAAATTGATGTTTTTGTCTATCTGTTTCTCCCCTTACCCTCCTCTCTCAAATTAATTTAAAAAATTTAAAAACTACACAATGCAAATTTCCATACAGTGTTATTGACTGATGTTGATCATGGGAAGAGGAAGAAGCCCTGTGGAAGGATGGGTTGAGGATCACTGAGATAAGTGTTACTGAGCTTGACGTGATTACGTAGCTGAGTGATGATGGAAACAGGTATGGCTCCATGGAGGCAGGAGGAGAAAAGCCTGAGACTACAGCCAAGAGCTGGCTCGTGGTTTTGACTGATATTCACGTCACAGCTTCTTTGTGTATTCACTTTTTACCTTCTGACCTCTGGCCCTGGCAAACGATAGGTTCAGGTTTATATGGGTTGAGAAACAGGCCTCTCTGACGTGGTTAGGAATCTATCTAACATCTTTTTAGGGTAATGCTAGGTTTTCTTTGCCTTGTAATCAACCTTGATATTGGAACAACCAGCTGAACCAAGCGCTTCCCACTGTCCTCAGCAAAGGACATAGACGTTAGGAGAAAAGTCGCGTCTTTTCAGGGGAGAAGACTCTGCCAGGATGGTTTTTTTCCAGTGGTCTGGGGAGTCGGACCCAGCAGATCCTTCTCCGCACTCTCAGAACCTTTTGCTGCCAAGTGGAGACTGTCTCAAGGGAATTCTCCACTGTTTGGATAGAGCTTGCTCCTGCACATAGTCTTCACTGTTCATGCAATAGAAACGAAGTGAGCACTAGTTGTCACTGTGTCAAAGCACATGTGTGGGGTGTCTTTGGACCAATGATGACCCATCTTTCCTTCCCTCTCCAAGACCAGGCCTTGAGGAGGGGGCAGGTGAGCATGTTTCCTTGGGGTGAAAGGGGGGAAGGAAGAGAGGGCTGTGGGAGAGGGGGTCTGTGTTACAGCAGTCAGCATCTGTGTGTGAAG